TACTTCCGATTTTATCACTGGCTCACTATGTGTTCTCCATTGGGTGAAGCTCTTAACCTTCTTGGGTGCTCGTTTTTATATCCATAAAATGAGAGTTTGGATAAGAGTCTGGACCAGATGTTCCCTACATTTCCTTTGGGCTAATTTGGATCTGCAAGTGATTCAAGCGAGAGCTAAGGCTAGCCAATGGATTGCCTATGCTGTGTGAGACAGTGCTGGTCTAGGGCTGCCAGGATTTTCCAGTACTGGGGAGAAACAAACTGTTTCCCATGGGGATACTGGGTTCATTCTGGACAATTCTGAAGGTTTTAGATCAGTGTTCAGCAGGCCTGAAATCTGGCAAGTGACCATTTCAACCTCTGATTCCAATGGTGGGTAGTTTCCAGAAATGTGAGAGTCCGGTTGAGAGAGAAAGCCACAAAATGACTCTGAAGGAGGCATCTCTCTGATATTTTTAGAAACGTATGCCAAGGCATATGCAAACAACAGCCTGATTTAATCACTTCTGCCTGTTGTGTTGAAAATTCAGCTTGTTTTTTCATATTGCGACTGGGAACTAAAAATTACAAATTCATCTTAACAAAGCATTCCAAAGAGAGTGTTTATCTCAATTTATACCCCTCCCAGTCCATGATTCTACTTTGAAAATGCACCATTTTAAACTCTTTAATGATTAAGTTGCTATCTCTATCAAGGCCAACTCCCAGATGGCTTTATGTTGAGATTCACTGTCTGAGCTCTCCCATACCAGATGTGAAACATCACAGAGGGAAACTGTCTCTCCTTAGAACAAAATATTTAGAATCATACAGGGTGAAAGAGATCTATCAACCCTAAAGGAATGAATTAGTGAAGATTAGGAGTACTCACTCCTGGATTAACAATATCTTTGTTGAAAAGAAAACAGCAGGCTAAAAAGCAAGATCACAGAAAATATAAGGAGATGTAATTTTTTAATCCAAGCTGCTCATTCTTACTATTTTGAAATGTTGTTTAAGGAAACAACATAGGTCTTAACTAGAACCTTGACCCCTAAATTGCATGCACAGCATTAGCAGTTTGGTACTGGGACTTGCTGATAATTCAATATTTTTTTTTTTTTCTGAGACAGAGTATCACTCTGTCACTAGGCTAGTGCAGTGGCATGATCTCAGCTCACTGCAACCTCTGCCTCCCAAGTTTAATCGATTCTTCTGCCTCAGTCTCTCAAGTAACTGGGACTACAGTCATGTGCCACTGTGCCCAGCTAATTTTTGTATTTTTAGTAGAGATGGGGTTTCACCATGTTGACCAGGATGATCTTGATCTCTTGACCTCATGACCCACCTGCCTCGGCCTCCCAAAGTGCTGGGATTACAGGCATGAGCCACCGTACCCGGCCTATAATTTAATTTTAAAAGCAAATAAAACCTTTAAAAAAACCACACTTTAAAATGGACACTTTGCTTCTTTAACTTTTTTCCTATTCAGCTATTATCAAGTATATCGCTTGTATAATATACCTAGTGAGAATAAAGATTAGATGTATAAATTAGTTTCAGCTTTTTTTTTTCACCATTTGGAAAAAATAAGATACTCCAGAAAAATTCAACTTTCCCTCCACTGAGTCACCAAAGCAGGGCCGGGGGTGGGGGTTGACTAGAATGTGTCTTCTTGCCTCTGCTGACCTCTAATGCATAGGAACAGTGTTTTTATTTTTTTATTATTTTAAAAATTTATTTATTTTGAGATAGAGTCTTACTCTGTTGCCAAGCCTGGAGTGAAGTGGTGTGATCTCGACTCACTGCAACCTCTGCCTCCCGGTTCAAGCAATTCTCCTGCCTCAGCCTCCTGAGTAGCTAGGACTACAGGCACCCTCCACTACACCTGACTAATTTTTGTGTTTTTAGTAGAGACGAGGTTTCACTATACTGGCAAGGCTGATCTTGAACTCCTGACCTTGATTAATTCACCCACCTCGGCCTCTCAAAGTTCTGGAATTACAGGCATGAGCTATCATGCTCAGCCAGGAACAATGTTTTTAAAAGTAGTAAAGAAAACAAGTAAAATGCAAGAAGGAAAAAACAGAAGTACCTGCTCTTTGTGGAATGAATATATAATATCCCAAACATGTTTTAATTAAAAACAAATTTTTATACCATCAAAACGAACTTTTTGAATGGTGATTTCTATCACTGTACTGTATTCTCTCAAGCAAAAGGTTGCTATAATTGCAAAAATAATAACCACATTTTGCTTAGAAGCAACCGGAGTAAAAGATCTCATCCTAAATTTGCAAATTGGGAACTGGTCAAATCAGAGCTGAATTAATGGCAGGCCAGGAAGAGATGCTAACCAAAGAAGGCACTGGGTTGCATTATAAGTGCTGTTCACATCCAGTTCTCTGGAGCCACTATTGGAGAGGGGTATGGGCCCAAGAACAACAAGGCCATCCCTGCCATGGGTGCTCAAGATCTGATTATCAAGAGATAGTCAAGGGCCCACCATGCAGCTAGGAAGGTTGAGCAAGCAGATGAGTCACGTGGCAGGCAGTATCTACGTGACATGGAGAGTACTAATGTCTTCATTTTACAAATGAGGCTCACACAGATAAAGATTTACTTAGTCATCCATCTCATAAGTGACACAGCCAGATCTCACGTCTTTCCAATGCCAAAGTCCATGCTTTCTTTACTATGTCGTATATCTCTCCCCCAGAGTAAAAGAGAAGAAGCAAATTGTGATCTGGGGCTTGAAGAGAACATGAACAAAAGACACCTCTCCTAGAAGTGAGTGAGGGTCTCAAATCTGAAGCAGACAGAGATGGGGGTAAGGATCCTATGGTAGAGACAGCAAATGGGATGGAAGATGATAGAAGATTCTCGCACCTGGAGAGGACCCGAGACTGTGTTTGGAAAGATGAGTGATAACACAAGACAGTGTTGCAAACTTTAATGGGTACATGAGTCACCCGGAGATCTTGCCAAAATGCAGGTGCTGATTGAGTAGGGCTGGGATGGGACCTGAGAATGCATTTATAACAAGTTCCCAGGTGCCACCCATGCTGCTGGTCCAGGGCCACACTGGGAGTAATGACTGTAAACCATGTAAGCCAAATGGGTAGTTCAGACACAAGGGCTCTCTGCAGGTGAGGCCCTCCACACCAGGTGGGGACAGAAGGCGCCTGTGGACAGTAGCTGAGGAATCACAGGGATCAGTGCTTCAGACACAAAGGCTTGCAGAATGCCTGTGATTTTCTGTTGGTGTTATAGTTCAACTGTGGGTCCAACTGGTTTACTTGGCAAAAGACATAAAATGGTACCTTTGACCAGAATTGTTGACCTGGTAGTGTTATCTCTTTTCTATTGGCTGAAATGTTTTAAAATTTTTAAATGTGGTTAAACTAGTCACGAGACTGCAGAGTATGTGTTTACTTGTAGGCATTTGTGTTAAAGGATGGAGAGGCTCTCACTCTGCCTCTCCTTCTCCAGAGTAAAGGAACTCATCCCCACAATTCCACTTTTCAAAGCTTCATTGATTTTGAATTACAAGGAGCAGGACTGTGGGACGAGACCTAGAGGAGCTGGTAAGAAGCAAATCCCAGCTGGACCAGGCCTGAGCATGTATTCAGGAGGAGGGAGGCTTTCCTGCCCAGGACCAGCAATGAGGCTTCTATTGAATCTACCACTGCTCCTGATTTAAAGGCCTCCGACATCCTATTTGATGACTTAGAGGCAGATACTGTCTTTAGGGCTGCCAGCAAAAGTCTTTGTTTCTCCTTTCTAGGTCTGGAAGGAAAGAGGAAGAACTGCAATTTATTGAAGGTCTGCTGTGTGCCAGGCATTGTGTCTAATCACTTGATTCACACACACACACGCACGCACGCAGAAACACACGCACACACACGCGCGCATGCACACGCGCACATACACACACACGCACATGTTGAAGAAAGAGTCAGAAAGCAGCCTCTGGTTTTTTATTTCTGTTGAACTCATTTCATTTGTGGGAATCAATGTCTTTCTTTAGACTCTACAGATAAACCAGACTCTTCAAGGCCTTCTTGTCTTTCTTGATGTGGATGCCCTAATTAAACTGGAGATGGTTTTGGAAATTGCTCAGGGACGTTATTATCTTTTACATGGAAAAGGCTTTGCAATTCATTCCCTAGAAGAGACTGGAGGGCTGCCCCTGCCCCCACCCCCGCTTCACCAGATGTATCGCCTCTGTGCCTCTGGCGTATCACCTGATTCAATGAGCTCTGGCTTCCCTTCCAGTCCTGGGGCTCCTCTGTTTGTAATTTTTATACTTCACAGGACACTTTTCACTCCATAGAGCTACTCTCTATGATACCTTCTAAGAGGAAAGGTAACTAAATTATAGTTTTAAATTCACCCATAAAGACCTGAAAAGAAAAACAACAGAATGAACTCGATTATTGGATCCTTTTGCAATTGTAAAGGGAAATGGGGGCATTTAGAATTCTGGGAAACAGCAGCTACTTCTAAGTATACATTACAGCTCTGTGAACAGGTGACATGGCTTAAGTAACACTTGAGAAGTCTCCACATGCCCCCTCCCATTTGTATTAGCATCTTTGTTACGCACAGTCTAGTGACAATGCAGAGTTTTCCCTGACTTTTCTCTGCTGGGGTGACAACAGGCACCTGGAGCCACGCAGACCTGTGCTCAACCTCCTTTCAAGCACTTACTGGCTCTATGATTGTGGAAAGTTACTTAACATCTCTGGGACCTACCTTATAAGGTAGTTGTGAAGATTAAGTAAGAGGTGAACGCTGCTCAATTATTACATCAAATATTAAGAAATAGAGGTGCTAATGTAAAAAAGAAACATGTTTCTAAGTTTTTAGAGATTGTTTATGTATTGTGTCCGTGGGTCCCTGAGGAGGGATCCTTAGATGAATCTACGTGGAGTAAAATAAGAACTAAAATTAAGGAATACGCTGCCACTCATCAATCTTCCCCGCAGGCAGAACTGCTTCTTTCAGTTTGGCCGCAGTTGTGCCAGGCTGTCTGCCTGCCTCACTGCTCCCCTGCTGCTTCTCTTGCTTCTAATTCCTCTTCTTTCTCTTACAAATCTAACCCTGATGGTGGAGGGGGCGGTGGTAATTTACCACCTTGTAATCCTCTAAACGAGCCCAATTCCGCTCTCGGAGTCGGACCTGGAGCCAGAAATGGGGGAGCTCCGGAGGAAGGGATCGGAGCCAGAGTGAAAATCGGCGCTTTGGAGAGCACAGGTAAGGGCTTCAGCTGCGCCCTCAAGTCTTACCCTCGAGCAATTATCCAGGCTCCTGGCTTCGCTTTCCAAACCTACTCAAGCTTTTCCTGTAGTTACTACGCTTTCCTCTAAGCCTGTGGTGTGCTCTACGCCACGAGAACCTATCCTTGCAACTACTTATGCCTTTGAATCTATGAAACAGGGATTTCCTGATTCTGACCTCCACCTTGTCTGTCCCCTTATAGAAGTGACCAATCAAAACGGCAAGATTGTTCGTCATTATGAACCTATTCCACCAAATTGATGAAAGATTTCAAGGAGGCAGTGACTAATTATGGACCCACTGCACCTTATACTCTCTCTTTACTGGGAAATTTTGGTACTCAAGCCATGACTCCTGCAGACTGGCATTGCGTCGCCAACGCCTGCCTTTCAGGTGGCGACTACTTGTTGTGGAAAGCTTATTATGATGATGCTGCTTTTGATTTGGTGGAAAAGAATGAGAGACAAAGAGTGGGAGTTAATTTGCAGATGTTGAAAGGTACAGGTGATTATGAAAGTGTTCAGGCACAAGTTACCCCCCCAGAAGCGGCGTTTAGGCAGGTAAATGCTTTAGCTTTGCGTGCCTGGAAAAAGCTTCCCACTCATGGAGAATTTATTGATGAAATTACCAAAATTAAACAGGGAAATGAGGAACCTTATAAAAATTTTGTCTCTAGATTAATGCAGACAGTCAGACGGCAATTTGGAGATAGCGAGTCAGCTCAATTATTTACAAAACAGTTGGCCTATGAAAATGTTAATACTACTTGCCAGTTCGTTCTCTGCCCATGGAGAAAAGCTTCCCTTGCAGATTACATCCGGCAATGTGCAGATGTTGGGCCACCTTACCAACAAGGTTTAGCCATGGCTGCAGCTCAAGAGGGACTTTCCGTGTCGGCCTTTTTAAGGCAGCAACAACAGCAAAATCGTAGGCCATCTGTGAAATGCTTTTGATGTGGACAGTCTGGTCACATTGCTAAAAATTGCCCTCACCCTGTTAGTATTGCTTCTCCCCAGCCTGTACCGTCTTTCCCTGCCACACAGCAAAGGCCTCGCCAGCCTGGTGAGTGTCCTCGGCGTCACCGTGGCAGTCATTGGGCCAACGAGTGCAGATCTAAGAGGGATGCTCAAGGAAATTCTCTTCTCCCTCGTTCAGGAAACTCCCAGAGGGGGTGGCCTCGACCCCCGCAACCAATCGAAGCTCTTCCTCTCTCTCGACCTACTGTTCAGGACTTGACCTCTGTCCCACCACCGAAATCCTATGAATGCCTGGTTCCGGTGTGGTTCCAGTCCCAACAGGTATTTTTGGCCCATTACCAGATGGATATATAGGCCTTTTGTTAGGATGTAAGGCAATTCCACATATTGTACCCACTATTGTTGATCAAAGTTTCTCTGGAGAACTGATTGTGCTAGCTTCTACTGCCGGAGGAATAGTTACATTATAGCCAGGCTCTCCCTTCCAGCAGCTTCTGCTTGTGCCTCACAAAGAGAGGGTTACCTCAGATATGTCCCCTCCTTGGGACAAGAAAGATCCCTCTTACCTGTGCTGGGTACAAGCCATTTCGGCATCACGATGAGAAATGATTATTACCATTAATGGAAAGAAATTTAGGGGCCTTTTAGACACTGGAGCAGATGTTTCTGTAATCTCCTCAGAATTTTGGCCCCCTGCATGGCCTGTCACACAGGCTTATATGTCTCTGCAGGGTATAGGCACTTCTTCTGACCCTTATCAGTCTTCCCAATTGTTATCTTGGTCAGATGAAGAAGGCCATAGTGGCTCTTTCCGTCCATATGTTTTACCCAACATTCCCATAAATTTGTGGGGCCGTGATATTTTACAGTCTATGAATGCTCATTTGGTTACTTCTAGCCCAGCCCTAGATATCATGATGAAACAAAGCTTCCTGGGTGTAAACAGGGAGGCTGCTCCAGCTTCCCCAAGGGCTCAGATAATTGATACCTTGGCCCTCTGCAACCCTTCCAGGACACACAAGCTCTGTGGTAGGAGCCCAGAATATTCATCATGTGTAAGTGCTAGAACAGTTTGCAAATTCCAGCCCTTTAGCCCCTTATCTTTGCACACTGCTTTACAAAATTGTTAATTGAACTATAGCTTACTTTTGCATTAAATCCTGTTTTCTTGAGATCATACCTCAGAGTACTTAACTGATCTAGGAGTCTCTGAAATTTTCTCCACAGCACCTTGGTGATATGGTTTAGAGCTGTGTCCCCACCAAATCTCATGTTAAGTCGTGATCTCCATTGTTGGTGGTGGGGCCTGGTGGAAGATGATTGGATCATGGGGTAGATTTCTCGTGAATGAATTAGCACCATCCCCTTGGTGCTGTCCTCACCATGGTGAGGGAATTCTCAAGAGATCTGGTCATTTAAAGGTGTGTGGCACCTCCCGCCTCCCTTTCCTGGTCTTGCTCTGGCCATGTGAGGTGGACCCCCTTCATCTTCTGTCATGATTGTAAGTTTCCTAAGGCCTCCTCAGATGGCAGAAGCCAAGCAGATGCCATCATGCTTCCCATACAGCCTGCAAGTAGGAATATGAGCCTATTAAGCCTCTATTCTTTATAAATTACTCCAGTATCGGGTGTTTCTTTATAGCAATGTGAGAATGGACTAATACACTGGGTGAACTCTCTTTGGCTGTTGCTGTCTCTGATGCCTTATTTCATTCACTTGTGAGAGCTGGAGCCACAGTGTTAGAAGGAAAATTCTGCTGGACCTTCCTGATTCAGAAAGAAAAACCTCAAGAAGAGGGTCCAGGAGCCCTGTCTTGACATTGTGGGCTCAGGCCAGTGCTACTGTGCAGAAGCAAAATAGACTGGGACCAGAAGATCAGTGACTGCCTGGGGCCGGGGGTGGGAGCAGCAGTTGACAAGAACAAAGACACTTTGGTGGGGGTGAGGAGACTTTTCCAAAACTGGAGTGAAGTGAAGGTTGCACAAATATGTACATTTACTAAAAATCATTAAACATTGTATAATAAATAAATAAATTATACCTCAAAATGCTGTTTAATCAGGCGTGGTGGCTCATGCCTGTAATCCCAGCACTTTGGGAGGTTGAGGTAGGAGGATCCCTTGAGCCTAGGAGGTTGAGACCAGCCGGGGCAACCTAGGGAGGCTCTGTCTCTACAAATAAAAAATAAAATTAGCCAGGCACGATGGTGCATGCCTGTGGTCCCAGCTACATGGGAGTTTGAGGTGGGAGGATCACATGAGCCAGGAAGGTTAAGGTTGCAGTGAGCCATGCTTGAGACACTGCACTCCAGCCTGGGCAACAGAACAAGATCCCATCTCAAAAAAAAAAAAAGGAAAGAAAGAAAAAGAAAAAGAAATGTAACATTTTTAAAAACAAAAGCAAGATTGAGCTATAAACTTAAGATGTGTCCCCTTTAGTGTGTGTTTGTTTTACTTTTATGAAAAGGTTTATCAGAAAAATGCCTAAGTTCCAAAGGTGTTATAATTTGAAAGAAAAAGGTTGTATTCCTTGCAAGATTTTTTTGTTTTTGTTTTTTTTTTGTTTTGTTTTGAGACAGGGTCTTACTCTGTTGTCCAGGCTGGAAAGCAAGGGCATGATCACAGTTCACTGTAACCTCCATGCTCTGGCTCAAGCACTCTTTCTGCCTCAGCCTCCCAAGTAGCCGGGTTTGCAGGCACATGCCACCATGCCTGGCTAATTTTTGTATTTTTTGACAAAAATCAAAGACCAAAGAGACAGGGTTTCATCATGTTGCCCGGGCGTGTCTCAGACTCCTGAGCTCAAGCAATTCTCCTGCCTCAGGCCTCCCAAAGTGCTGGGATTACAGGAAATGAGCTTAGGGAAAAAATCGATATACAATAACTCATAGCATTACAATGGCTGCAGTGGCCAAGCACAGTGGCTCACACCTGTAATCCCAGCACTTTGGAAGGCCGAAACGGGTGGATCACTTAAAGTCAGGAGTTCGAGACCAGCCTGGCCAACATTGTGAAACCTTGTCTCTACTAAAAATACAAAAGTTAGCCAGGCATGGTGGTGCATACCTGTAGTCGCACCTACTCAGGAGGTTGAGGCAAGAGAATTGCTTAAACCCAGGAGGCAGAGGTTGCAGTGAGCTGAGATCGCGCCACTGCACTTCAGCCTGGGCAACAGAGAGAGACTCCATCTCAAAAAAAGAAAATAAACAAAAACCAAGGCTGCAAGAACTCTGAGTGGAAACAACATTTTCAAACTTGCCGCCCCTTAGAAACAGGAGAGACCTATTTCCTGCCCATTTCAAGTCTTCCAGGCTGAACACCAGGCTGCAGTCAGATATATTTTAAAACCATGAGTCCTGACTTCGGGATCCAGGCTCTGGCTCAGCCACTCATTAACTTATGATCTTAGGCAAATTTACCTTCCTCCTCTTGGTCCAATTTTTCCCTTCCCTAAAACCGGGACGTGATCCCCGCTGGTGACACTATACTCTAGGGTGGTGGCTCCTGGGGTAAAGCTCTCACTGAGCCTCACTTTCCTAACTGGAAAATAGGGAGACAGTAGACCTATGTGGTCTGTCTGCCCCTCTTTTCCCCTCCTCTTCCTCTGGTAATACCAGACCCACTCTTTCGAGAAACTTCTCCCGCCTCCTCCACGGGTTACTTTTGGCGGCATCAGGACCTCCATGGCAGTAGCAGGGGCACCAAGAAGAGGGTGAGCCAATAACAGAACCAAAAAGGGACCTGAGGAAAACACAGATGTCAGAATGAGACACGGGCCATCCTGACCATCTGAATGTCCCTGAATTCACACTAATCTTTTCAAATGTGTGTATATATAAACCCCCTTCTTTGCTTGAAAGTAATAATTACAGTTTCCCTCTGACCTCCTATGCTCCTGATAAAGAAAAATCAAAGACTGAAATCAAAGCCAAACTTCTTTCTCTCAATTTTGCTCAGGGCTGGCAGTCCAATGGAAGCAGACCGTTTCTGGTTTGGTCTTATCCTCTCCCTCTAGCCCTGTACCAAGAAACTCATGCAGCAATCACACATTTAAAGTTCAGAGAAGGGTCTAAAGGGAAGAGTAATTACCAACATCAAGGGATCATTATGGAGGCCACTGCTCAGGTTTGAAATCTTTTTACACTGATGTCCAAACAATGACAAAGATAGACTTTAATTGAAACAGGAGAGATCTATAGCCAACAAGAAAAAAAAAAAAAAAGAAATTTCCACTTGCCAGAGTGCTAAATGGAGGACTAAGTCTAGTAGCACTGTTTCCATCCCAGTATCTTCTGGAATAAAGGACCAAGGCCCTTTTGAGCCCCCCAGCCCTCCATTTTGATGAATATGTTGGGCTAGATGCTTTCATTTACCCTTCTCTCTGTTTAAAAGTAAGGCTCTCTGGTGACAGGGGGCGTCGTAGTGGGGTCTTGAAAGTTGCCGTGTGCTGTTGGGGTCTCTGAGGCTCACTTTTCCTTGGGCACCCATGGTTATCTCTGCTAGTTTGGGTGAGACCCCAATCAAGAAGCTAGGCAATGGGCCCAAATAAAACCACACAGGGAAGAATTAAGATATGGAGACTATTACAAGAAAGATATCAACTGGGGCCGAGTGCGGTGGCTCAAGCCTGTAATCCCAGCACTTTGGGAGGCTGAGGCGGGTAGATCACGAGGTCAAGAGAACGAGACTATCCTGGTCAACATGGTGAAACCCCGTCTCTACTAAAAATACAAAAAATTAGCTGGGCATGGTGGCATGTGCCACCCATGTAGTGCCACCCAGGAGGCTGAGTCAGGAGAATTGCCTGAACCCAGGAGGCGGAGGTGTGGTGAGCCGAGATTGCGCCATTGCACTCCAGCCTGGGTAACAAGAGCGAAACTCTGTCTCAAAAAAAAAAAAAAAGACATCAACTTGTACTTACTCTTGGACAATGAAACATGATTCTGGCACTGACTGGCTGGCTGGCTGTGTCTGTGGTCAGGTGACTTTGGGGAATTCTGTGAGAGCATGCCAGCATGCCAGGTTGAGGTCAGGCCTAAGGGCTTGTTTTCAAAACCTATGAAGTAGAACCCAAAGAAAACTGGCTTGGAGCACTGGGAACTCAATCACACAGCACTTGGCAACCCAAGGGAGGCATCCGGGCAAGGAGTAAAGACCCAGAAGTGGTTGTTTTGCAAAGCAATTCAGAGAAAGGAGGATTTTCTTTTTCACTGAGTTTTTTTTTTTGAAACAGAGTCTTGCTCCTTTGCCAGGTGCCAGGCTGGGGTACAGTGGCACAATCTTGGCTCACTACAACCTCTGTCTCCCGGGTTCAAGCAATTCTCCTACCTCAACCTCCTGGAGGCTTTTATACTGTTTGAATTATTAACCAAGGCCATGCAATTATAACAAAAAGACATTTGTTTACAGTCTTGAATCATTAAAAATGAAGTTTTCTTTTCCACTCAATTCCTACAAGTTCAGATCCTTGGCTTCGCTGGAGGTCAGGGGGAAACGTCATCCCACAAGGAAGCAGGGGCAGGATTTTCAGTGAAAAGGCTCTTCTACCTGTCCGTGTTACTCTCTCTTGTTCATCATCTGGTAGCTAGCTGGCAATGGCTTTCTCAGGGTAGGGACTGAGGTGGGACAACAAACTGAATGCTAGTTTCCAGGTTGGAATTTGACCATTCTGGGAACTGGAGCTCAGGTCCATATGGACTAGGGTGGGGTAATGCTGAGTGGCCTGGGTTATCAAAACTCTGTTGATCAGTCTATTATCCGAAGAGAAGAGGAAGAATAAATGGGGCAGAAAGTAGTGTAGGGAATGGTTATGCTGTGTAGTGGCCCTGAAGAAATGGCATGAAGTCTGGTGGTCATTAAGTCATTTCACAAGGAAGGGCATGTACCTGGATGCACACTCAGCTATTAATAAAGTGTGAAACCTGGGATGGAATGTCCCAGCAGAAGTTGGAGGCTGGTAGAGTTGTGTACTCCAAACCATTGGCAGATCAGAGATACTGCTTCAGACCGGAGACCACCAGGAACTTCAGTTGTTTGCCTACATCATCCCAAATAGATGCTACATTACTAAGTCAGCTTTTCCAACTACCACCAAAGAAGCCCCAGTATGGGGCTGAGCTCCAAATTTTACAATCTGGAACATAATAGATACCCTTAAAGAAAGTGCGTCACTGTTCGAGCTTGCAGTGAGCTATGATTTCACCACTGCACTCTGGGCGACAGAGGACCCTGTATCTTGAAAAAAAAAAAAAAAGTGGCCGGGTGGGGTGGTTCATGCCTGTAATCCCAGCACTTTGGGAGGCCTAGGCAGGCAGATTATGAGGTCAGGAGATGAAGACCATTCTGGCCATGGGGAAACCCCATCTCTACTAAAATACAAAAAATTAGCCGGATGTGTTGGTGCGCACCTGTAGTCCCAGCTACTCAGGAGGCTGAGGCAGGGGAATCACTTGAGTCCAGGAGACGGAGGTTGCAGTGAGCTGAGATCGTGCCACTGCACTCCAGCCTGGCAAAAAAGCAAGACTCCATCTCAAACAAAAAGAAAAAAAATGTATCAAGGGTTCGGAGTCTTCTGTTCAGCTGTCTTAATCTCAGTGCTACTTGGAATTGTTTCACAGCAAAACTCAGTCTTGGGTGGCTCTGCTAGGTGGAAGAATGTTGTCTAATATCCAACTTTTTTTCAGGGTTTCAGAATGCACATTCTCTGTTCCCCACACATCGCTGTCAGATTTACAAGCATGAGCTAATGTCTAACTCCTAATTTGTCATTTGCCACTTTTTTCCTATCCCAAGTACTCAGCAATTAGAGTGAGTGTTGGAGAGATCCCTCCCCGCAAATTGTTGGTCCCTCTTCCCTTAGTGGTCCCAATGTTGATGCAGAAAGCAGAACGGTGTTAGATGGGGGCCCCTGCCCTACATATATCTGGCTCCCATTTACTTATACAGAACATTTATTTCATAAGTGTTGTAGACTATCATCCACAAATGACAAACTTTAAAAAGCCACGCACATCCAAATGGGTTTATACTATATTTAATCAGTGTTGCTGTTAGTGGCATGGTTCTTTTCAGACACTTTACTCCAGGAATCCACAGTTTGCTTCTATTATCCTCTGCAGACAGCACATGCTGGCACTGTGACTGGACCATAACGTCTGCCATCATGCAACCTGCTGCCATTAGAACTGCAGTATGTTACTGACAAGGTCAACATAGTGGGCATCAGGGGGTGGCTTCCTCTGACTCCCAGGCTGCAGGAACTTCTTAATTGTAGGGATGTTGCTGATTCTTGTTTTAAATGCCTGAAATGAGAAACAGTAAAATCAGGGCCTCAATAGCAGTCACAACCTTTAAGAAAAGTCTCAACTTTGTCATGAGCGGAGGGTGCTTAGACTTCAGTTTATGGAGCCCAGTGTGTTGAATCTATATTAATCCCTCAACAAGTGTTTGCTGGATATTCCTGGGATGGGTAATAATCCAATTGCTGACATGTTTAATATGAGTTACATTATCTTACTAAAAAGTCACAATCGGGCAGTACTATCCCTAAAATATTCATATTATTATTAGTATTTTTTGAGACGGAGTGTCACTCTGGTGCCCAAGCTGACATGCAGTGACACAATCTCGGCTCACTGCAATCTCCACCTCCTGTGTTCAAGCGATTCTCCCACCTCAGTCTCCCAAGTAGCTGGGATTACAGGTATATGTCACCACACCTGGCTAATTTTTGTATTTTTAGTAGACACAGGGTCTCACCATGTTGGCCAGGCTAGTCTTGAACTCCTGACCTCTAGTGATCCACCTGCCCCAGTCTCCCAAAGTGCTGGGATTATAGGCATGAGCCACTGTGCCCAGTTATAGTCATATTCGTGACCTATCAATTCTTGTTTTAGTAATTATTATAAAGAAATAAGCAAGGGTGTGAGCAAAGAAATATCTATAAGAGGCTGAGTGTGGTGGCTCATGCCTGTAATCCTAGCACTTTGGGATGCTGAGGAGGGAGAATTATTTGAGCTCAGGAGTTCAAGACCAGCCCAGACAACATAGTGAGACCCCCATCTCTACAAACAATTTTTTTTTTTAGATGGGGTTTCTCCATGATGGCCAGGCTGGTCGTGAACTCCTGATCTCAGGTGATCCACCCACCTCAGCCTCCCAAAGTGTTAGGATTACAGGCGTGAGCCACCGTGACCGGCTAAAGAGGAAGTTCTTCTTTTTTTTTTTTAACTTTTTTTTTTAGAGACAGGGTTTCACCATGTTGGTCAGGCTGGCCTTGAACTCCTGACTTCAGGCGATCCTCCTGCCTTGGCCTCCCAAAGTGCTGGGATTACAGGCATGAGCCACAGCACCAGGCCCAAACAATTTTTTAAAAAAGAAATAGCTATAAGAATGTTAACAGGGGCCGGGTGCGGTGGCTCTCACCTGTTATCCCAGCACTTTGGGAGGCGAAGGTAGGTGGATCACAGGGTCAGGATTTCTAGACCAGCCTGGCCAACATGGTGAAACCCTGTCTTTCTAAAAATACAAAAATTAGCCAGGCATGGTGGCATGTACCTGTAATCCCAGCTACTCAGGAAGCTGAGGCGGGAGAATCGTTTGAGCCCAGGAGGTGGAGGTTGCAATGAGCCAAGATCACACGTTTGCACTCCAGCCTGAGCAACAAAGCAAGACTCTGCTCCCCACAAAAAAAAAATTTGTTTAATGTTAACATGGTAAAAATTAGAAAGAACTTATGTTTCTAGAAAATGAGACTGGTTATATAAATTATGGTACTTCTCTACAAGGAGTATAAACTAGTCATTTAAAATGCTTTTGGCCGGGAGCGGTGGCTCACGCCTGTAATTCCAGCACTTTGGGAGGCCAAGGCAGGTGGATCACGAGGTCAAGAGATCGAGACCATCCTAGTCAAAATGGTGAAACCCCATCTCTACTAAAAATACAAAAAATTAGCTGGGCACAGTGGTGCGTGCCTGTAATCCCAGCTACTCAGGAGGCTGAGTCAGGAGAATTGCCTGAACCCAGGAGGCGGAGGTTGCGGTGAGACGAGATCGCGCCATTGCACTCCAGCCTGGGTAACAACAGTGAAACTCCGTCTCAAAAAATAAAAATAAATAAAATGCTTTTATGTAAGAGGAAAGAGGAAGATTTTTGTATTGACAAGTAAAGATCTCTAAAATGCACTGTTTAACAATAATTTTTAAAAGCCCAGGGCAGAACAGAATATACGCTATTTTCTGTTTTGTGCAAGAAAGTTGGGAGGGGCAAAGAATATGACCATATATTCTGATTTGCTGTTATCTGCAAAAATAAGAACATTGGAAATTATACATAGGATGCCAATAAAAGTGATTATGGAAGCAGGATGGTGGGAGGGAAAGGGTGGGAACCAGACTTCTGAATTTATGCTCTTTTTACATAGCTCTGATTTTTTTTTTTTTTTTTTTGAGATGAGGTCTCACTATGTTGCCCAGGCTGGAATGCAGTGGTGTGATCTTGGCTCACTGCAACCTCCACCTCCTGGGTTCAAGTGATTCTTTTGTCTCAGCCTTCTGAGTAGCTGGGATTACAGGTGAGCACCACCACACCTGGCTAATTTTTTATATTTTTAGTAGAGACAGGGTCTCACCATGTTGGCCAGGCTGGTCTCAAACCCCTGACCTCTAGTGATCTGCCCACCTCGGCCTCTTGCAGTGCTGGGATTACAGGCATAATCCATCATGTCTGGCCATAGCTCTGACTTTTTTTAAAGACGTGATTCTATTGATTAATGAAAATAAAATAGCATACTATTGCAGAAGAATATTTATTGACCTGTAAATAGTTCATGATAATTGAAAAGAATGTTAAATGCAGGCCACAAAACAATCTTTAGTATAACCCTATTTGGAGGGAAAATGCAAAACAATAAACCAGGAAATCTCATGCAAATAACATTTGGCTGGTGAGATTATAGGTCTTTTTTCTTTTATTCTCTTCTCTCTTTTCTGTTTTTTGTTTGTTTGTTTGTTGTTTTCTGAGACAGAGTCTCACTCTGTCACCCAGGCTGTAGTGCAGTGGTGCAATCTCCGCTCATTGAAACCTTCACCTCCCGGGTTCAAGCGATTCTCCTGCCTCAGCCTCCCGTAGCTAGGATTACAGGCATGCGCCAGCACATCGGGCTAATTTTTGTATTTTAAGTAGAGATGGGGTTTCACCATGTTGGGCAGACTGGTATTGAACTCCTGACCTCAGGTGATCCTCCCAACTCACCCTCTTAAAGTGCTGGGATTACTGGCCAATGCGCCTGGCTAGTCTTTTTTCTTTTCTTCTTTTGGTTTACACAAATGTCAAATGTAGCTACATGAACTTGCATTTCTTTTATAATAAGAAAAATTGTTAATTCTTAAACCACAAGATCCGTGGTTACCTATTAGATAAAATGTTTCTCAGGAATTAGAACAGAGGCTGGGTAAGGTCTGGCAGGAGCAGAATTCTGTTGAGGGCTGCGGCAGTGCAACAGGAGGCTGGCAGTGCCCCCTAAGCAGATGCTCTGAGCGATGGAGGAACTATGTGGGGCCCCAGCACCAGGGGGACTAAAAGCTGGCAGGGCTGTCTGGTAGGACATGGAGGGAGAAGCAACAAAGACAGACTTGTCAGCTTTGCTTTGCCCGGATGAAAAGCTTTAAAAGCACTAAAAACAGGAAAGTACTAAATGTTCATGCTAGACATCAAAATAATCAATTCTTCCCCCCTCCCATAAAGTTTTATTTTCTAGTATATCCTGTAAATAAGCAAGAGAAAAATAACCAAAATGAAGAAAAGAATGATTTTTAAAACTGTTCTTGGGCTGGGAATGGTGGCTTACACCTGCCATCCCAGCATTTTGGGAGGCCATGGCTAGGGAACAGCTTGAGGCTAGGAGTTAGAGGCCAGCCTGGGTAACATAGAGAAACCCCCATCTCTAAAAAAAAAAAAAAAAAAAATAGCCAGGCATGGTGGCACACACCATAGTCCCAGCTACTCTGGAAGATGAGGTGGGAGGATTGCTTGAGCCCAAGAGGTCAAATCTGCAGTGAGCCATGATCGTGCCACTGCACTCCAACCAGGGCAACAGAGTGAGACCCTGTCTCAAAAAACAAACAACAACAACAAAGCCCACCACACACACACACACACACACACACACACACACACCAGCGTTCTTAAGTGTCTTTTGATTGTCCTAGAGGCACCTTTTGCTTCAGTCTTTGTTCATTTTTTTTCTGTATTTTGAGTAGATGTTAATATACTACCTTTAGCAGAGGGAAGTCAGAAAGAACAGAAGCATTGAGTTCTTCTACCATTAAAATAGCTTCTAACATCTGTATATCTGCCCAGCTGAATTTGTTGCCAACAAGAAAATCCTCTCCATGGTCTTTCAAAATCTACAGAAAGAAAAAAAAAGAATATCAGATGGCAGTAAAAAACCATTTTGTGTGGCTAAACACTTAACAAGAGCATGAAGCCTTTGTACTGATTAGATTTAATAAAGGATCTTAAAAAAAAAATCTCCAGTGCTGGTAAGAATAGGATAAGCAACACTCCAACACATGCTGTAAACTGGCATAATTTTGGTGGGAAATTTTTCAGTGATTGTCAAAGCCTTTTGGGTGGTGAAATGCTGGTGCTGGACTCCTGTTACAAACCTGGAGGTGGCTCAGTAAAATTGTATCCACCAGTACAGACAGACACAAAAGTTACAACTCGCTGAAGCCTGGTGGCTATCCCACCAACAGAAACAAGTACCAGTGTGATCCCAGAAGTCCAAACCAGAACCACATAGAAAGCTAATTTTTCACCATTCAGTGAAGAGTGAATATTTAGAAATCTCTTGGGTGCATCTTTGAGTAGCAGATGCATTAAATATGGGTTTACTCCATAAATAAGGAGCAAAGGTAAAATCAGGTGCTATGTCTCTTGCTGTGATACATGCAAAAATAAAAATAAATGTTACTGTGGATGGGGAAAAATCACCAGAATCGTTGAATTCTGTAGTATCTTACGCAAGGCAAAGATAAAAACACTTGATGGGATATGTCAAATAAATGAAATGAGACTTCTGCTAAAGATAAACTCACAATTAAAAATTATACAGCATATAATTCAATCCAAGTCTTCTATGAGACAGAGGCAACAGACTTATAAAAAAGGAGAATTTTGAGCCACAGAGCCAAAGATAAGAGTCGATTCTGTAAAGGTTTATAAATGTTTTTAAATGTTCAAAGAGATAATAAAAAGGTGCTGTGGATGAGCAACAACTATCTGGGCTGGTGTCATAATGTTACTTAAAGGATAAAAACAAGGACAAAAAGAATAATTGATTTGTTATTCCCCTTTGAAGATACTAGATAATTCATTTTTTTAAGTGGTCAATCAAGTTTTTGTCCTCTTTTCCTATATAAACTACACACTAGAGCAGTCAAATATCTTATGAGGGGAAAATTCTTCTTATAAAAACTATTCAAGCTAATAAATGAAGAGGGGCTGGCAAGGTTAGGACATCACCATGTTGCATCTACTCATAAATTGATGTATCTAGGCATTGATCATCAATTGCATGAATATCATAAGAGCAGCAACCAGACAATTTGTTTGCTGATGACCTACACAGCACCACCTGTGAAACAATCTGGCCAAAATAATTGAGCCTGACCCTGATCAAACTTCTACTTCTAACTTCCAATTGATAGGAAACCAGGAGTATGCTGTAGTGAGTAAAATCCAGACCACAGGAAACTCTAGGATGCAAGATAAATGCAAGAGGAAAAAAGGAAAGAGAGAGAAAGAGAAAAGAGGGGTCCTAACAGATTAAAAGAGGCTTAAGACACGTATCGACCAATTACAATTAGCAAAGTTGAGTTTCACCCTGATTTGAATAACTAAATAATTTTAAAATGTTTTTGGAAGTACTAGATTAGGTCCTACACTGACTTCAATGCCAGTAGTATGACAAAGCACACTGAATACTACAACTCAGATAATCATCTTACTTATCTTAAACAAAAGGCATTCAACAACACTGTACACTGTCTTTGGATAATCAGGAGCTTGCTTATCTAGTACTCTAAAGTACCGACCGAATAATTCATTATAATTTAGTCAATAACAAGTTGTTCTTTCCCAAGGCCAAGACTGAGGACATACATGTACAATTCTTTCATCCAGCAGAACCTTATGAAACCTTGTGCTAACAAGTGTTAGCATTTTCCATGTTGCCAGATGTACTATGAGGACATTTGTTGTTGGTATTTACTCCAAAATGACTTCACAGATTTTCCCTTTAAGAGACTTTGTCTTATGGAGGGGTGTGGTGGCTTGTGCCTGTAAATCCTTGCACTTTGGGAGGCTGAGGTGGGTGGATCGCTTGAAATCAGGAGTTCGAGACTAGGAGTTCAAGGCTGAGGCCAACGTGGTAAAACCCTGTGTCTATAAAAATACAAAAATTAGCTAGGCGTGGTGGCACACACCTGTAGTCCCAGCTACATGGGAGGCTGAGGCAGAAGAATTTGTTGAACCTGGGAGGCAGAGGTTGCAGTGAACCGAGATCACACCACTGCACTCAAGCCTGGGCAACAGAGTGAGACTCTGTCTTTAAAAAAAAAAAAAAAGAAAGAGAGAGACTTTGTCTTTTGATTGAGACACAGTTAGCCTCTATTATTAGACCTAAAAAAATACCTGACACAACTAAAGCCCAAGACATTACACCTTGGGCTGATGTCTTAATTTAAAAGTCAGAACAGAAATGCTGTATACTTTCATTGTACTTGGTGTATTCCAACTTCATTGTGTTGGAGGTTCCATAATTTTACCTGTAATTTGTTCTAGAATCTTTTCTAAAGTTTTGATTTGGATCAGTAAAGCTCTAACATGGACTTTGACTGTATTTTCAGGTATTCACTCTTGAAATATTCTCAGAAACAGAAAATGTCAAAGCCCTGGATCCCTGAAGCCTACCTTTTCAAAGACAGGAAAGTAGCGGGCTTTCGCTTTCTGGATGACAGAAGCAAGGGTCTCCTGTTTTTCCTCAGGGCGCTGGAAGGGGGCCAGCATTATCATTGCCATCAGGTCCAAGGTGCCATCAACATACATGTCGATCCTGATAAAACAACCATTTGATCCACAGGCAGAGAGGAGCTTTTGAGTACAGGGTCCCTAATCCAACACTTCTCTGGTATAAATAGATGCAGGAGCAAATGATTTTTATTTTTCCTCTTAAGCTTCCACTCTCATAAATGATTTCTAGCACCAGAACCAGCCAAGTGCCCAGGATATAGTAGTCTCTAGAAATGTTTATTGTATAAAAGGATGTATGAAAGAATTCTTGAATGTCCTGAAGTTGAAATCTGCCATAAACAAATAATTGATTATCATGGCTTTAAAAACTAAACTCAATGCAGTTTATTAAAACTACAAAACAATTAGTACAGAACATTCTCACTTCTTTAGAGAAGATAGATAATTTAACAGGTCTTCTTCTGTTGACCTGGTAACTGAGAAAGAAAAGTTCAATTTCCTGGTCAGGTCAAACAGATGTATTTCTTTCCCTTTAAAGTTTTCCTTTCATTGCCAAGCACTAAATAAATAAATAAACAAATCATAGTATTTATATTGCCATTATTTACTGGCCTATTAGTACATTCATGAAGTGCTAGTTACCTCTTCAAGGATGTCTTTGTATTCCCCATTACATACTAATTGCTTAATCAATTTGTTTTAATGGTCTTCTGAGGTCTTTGTCTTTCTTTTTAGCAGCATATAAAGAATAATGGAACCAGGCTCAGTGGCGTATCTATGGCTCGACTATAGCTCAACTATACGGGAAGCTGAGACAGGAGGATTGCCTGAGCCCAGCAGTTTGAGTCTGGCCTGGGCAACATAGTGAAACCCCATCTCATTTAAAAAAAAAAAGGCCTGGCATGGTGGCTCACACCTGTAATCCCAGCACTTTGGGAGGCCAAAATGGGTGGAATCACTTGAGGCCAGGAGTTTGAGACCTGTCTGGCCAACACAGTGAAACCTGTCTCTACTAAAAACACAAAAATCAACAGGGCATAGTGGTGTTTGCCTATAGTCCAAGCTACTTGGGAGAGTGAGGCAGGAAAATCACTTGAACCCAGGAGGCTGAGGTTGCAGTGAGCTGAGATCACGCTACTATACTGCAGCCTGGGCAACAGAGTGTGACTCTGCCTCAAAAAGAAAAAGAAAAAAATGTCATAATATCCTTTCATTGTCCTGTGTGAATGACAAATAATTTTTCTTTCATGTTAGTGTCACCTAGCCCACTTGCTTTAGTCTACTACAGTTTATGGCTAACCCAAAGAAAAATAATAACACCATCTCAGGACACATCTCAGAAAAAACCATGGAGATTTTTAAAGACCAATTAAAAACTTTGCATCAAAACAATAGGAAACAGACCGCGTTTGCGCATTAGTATTTATTTACAAAAGGATCATATTCACACACTGTTTGACATTGTTTCTCTTGCCATATACCTTCGGAATTACAGGTTGGAATGACTAACCCTGTTTTAAAGATGAAGCTATGGGAAAGCTGGGGTGAGCTGCTACTTGTTATGGACCTTGCTCATTCCTATGTTCTTTCTCCTTTTTCTGAACAGTTGAGCCTGGGCTTCTCCCACCGAGTCTTCTGTGTATACCGAGCACCCCCACGGTGTCCGTGCTTATGGTAATGACTGTTTAGGGAGCTCTGGAAAGGCCCCATGACCCCAAATCAAGGCAAGTGTTTATAGTTGCAAGTCTTTGTTTTTTATTAAGTCGTTATTTTTATGAAATTAAACTATCCCGGTGAATAATTACCTAATCATTTTCTGCCAGGCCTGGCACAGTGCACAGCACAGCACAGATGTTCATGGTATACAGAGGCCAAAAACTTCACCCACTTGTATTTGTGATGAAACGTGGTGCTCCTTCTGTCAATATATGGGGTCTATTTCCCAGTCTATCTGTGGCTTCCTTTAATGAGTGGAATGAGGTAGAAATGATGAGGTGCCAGTTCTGAACCCAGAACTTAGAAGGCCTGTGTGCTTTCACTCTCGTTCTCAGAACTCTGCCTCACTGCCATGAGAACAAGCTCAGAATGAGAGGATGAGAAATGCATGGTCCGTTCATATCCCAGTCAGCCAACAACCACAACCGGAGCTGCCCAGCTAACTACAGACACGAGTGAGTACAGCCTAGAGAAGTCAAGCTTGAGGCCGGGCGCGGTGGCTCACGCCTATAATCCCAGCACTTTGGGAGGCCAAGGTGGGTGGATCATGAGGTCAAGAGATTAAGACCATCCTGGTCAACAAGGTGAAACTCCTCTCTACTAAAAATACAAAAATTAGCTGGGCGTGGTGGTACGTGCTGTAGTCCCAGTTACTTGGGAGGCTGAGGCAGGAGAATTGCTTGAACCCAGGAGGCGGAGGTTGCAGTGAGCTGAGATCACACCATTGCACTCCAGCCTGGGTAACAAGAGTGAAACTCCATCTCAAAAGAAAGAAAGAAAGAAAGAAAAGTCAAGCTTGGCCCAGATAGGCCACCCAGATGCTTGCTCACCCATAAACAGGTGAGCAATAGCAAATGCTTGCTGATTCAAATCACTGTGTTTCAAGGTGATATGTTTTAGAGCATTATTTATAGTCAATAGATCATTGATACAATGCTCAATATGTGTTTGATGAATCAGTCATTTCCACCTTCATGTAGAATAGCTTAAGAGTTTATTTTCTAAGAACATATTTTGTTAGGAGTGGAGAGAGAACATGAGTAGTTGAATGTGGCCTTCAGTGAACTATGAGTAGTATACAGAAAAGGAGGAGTGGAGTTAATAAGTGGAGTTACTTATTAAGAATAAGTACTAGGTGGCTGGGCATGGCGGCTCACGCCTATAATTCCAGTACTTTGGGAGACCAAGGCAGGTGAATTGCTTGAGGCCAGGAGTTCAAAACCAGCCTGGCCAACATGGCATAACCTGTCTCTACTAAAAACACAAAAATTAACTGGGCGTAGTGGTGCCCACCTGTGGTCCCAGCTACTCAGGAGGCTGCCGCATGAGAACTGCTTGAACCAAGGAGGCAGTGGTTACAGTTAGCTGAGATCGTGCCACTGCACTCCATCCTGGGCAACAGAGTGCTACTCTGTCTCAAAAAAAAAAAAAAATGAGTAAGTACAAGGCATGCCAGGTCTAGCAAGCCATTTCCCCTTTGTTCCATTTGTCATTTTTCCTCAATCCATGCTGAAAGGTACACCGGAACCAGGTCTCAGTTGGTGGAGAACTGAAAAAGCTTGGCTAAGAATCAAGTGGAGGCATGAACACTGTGGTACCTGACTCTTTCCTTCAGGTCCTTCCCGTAGAAGTTGAACTTCGCAGCAAGATAGCTGAGGATGGCTCTAGTCTGTGTCAGCATCATTCCATCCACTTCAACCAAAGGCACTTGGCCGAAAAGCAGGCATCCATCTGTGGTTTGAGCAAAGAGAGGTTAAGATTCCGTTGTTCAGTGGTTGCAGCAAATCTAAGGATGGTTCACTTCTATCTGTGATTTTTAGGTTCTATCTAAAGTGATCAATTAAAGACCACAGTTGTTGAGGAAATGGCTACGATTTGCTTCATGTAAAAATCTGAGATTCGTAGGCTGGGCACAGTGGCTCACGCCTATAATCCCAGCATTTTGGGAGACCAAGGCAGGTGGATCATGAGGTCAAGAGATTAAGACCATCCTAGCCAACATGGTGAAACCCTGTCTCTATATTTAAAAAAAAAATCTGAGATTCGTTTGGCAGTGTCATATATTTTGGTGTGATGGTTAACATAATTATTTAAGATTTTCTATGTTTACGATAACTATGTTATAGTCTAAGTGCTTCTGGTTCTCAAAGTTTAGGGAGTTGACTGGGTGCAGCAGCTCACGCCTATAATTCCAGCATTTTGGGAGGCTGAGGTGGGCAGGTCACTTGTGGTCAGGAGTTGGAGAGATGAGCCAGGCCAACATGGTGGGTGGTGGGGGGTTGGTGAGTGGGAGGACTCTTAAAGGATTCTTCAGTGAGGGGGGAGAATTAAACCAAATTAGCGCTGACACATACAATTTTCATTCGATCCTCTTAACCAAGGTCACCATCATGACCTATTTGATAAGAGTTTCTGAAGACTAATTGGAGTGGCCTTTGCTGACGCAAATTGAGCTGTGTGTCAGGGACATGGTGAACAGTCAATCAATGTTAGCAGTCCTGCTATGTGCTTGCCTTTTCTAATAGTAACCATGGTAGAGCTCCGTCTCTTTTACCAAAACAAATACTTCCCGAAGCAGGTTTCCATTTTTCTCTACTAAGATAATATTGAATAAATCTAGGCTTACCCTTCTGCAACTTTTCATATTGTTCTCTTGTTTCAAGAAATTCTTCTTCAAACTAAAAAAAAGATAGAGACATTATTACAACTTTAAAGTCCTCAAGAAAACAAAGAGATTTTGGTTTTTCTTTATTTTTTATTTTTGCTCCCATTCCTCTTTTTTCTTTTCTTCACCTAAGTTCTTCCCTTCTTCTAAACTCATGTCCTTTCTCCAAATTTTTTGATGCTTTTTTCCCCTTCTCTTTCTTTTTTCTCTTCTGTTATTCTCCTTTCATATAAGGACAAGTCAAATTTCTCTTTAATGCTCATATATTCAAAGAAAGGAAGCCAAAGACCATGACTCAGGTGAGGTTTATTTCATGATTTATTTATGATGTTTCTAAAAACCTTTGTGAGAAACACTGATATTTTTTCATCCCCCAGACCTTGAGATGTGGGTGAGCAGTGTAAGGGAGATATCCCGAAAAGGTCATAGAGAAAAACAAACAAGGTAATGAGTCCTAGGTCTAGAGGAGATGGCATTCAGATAGGGAAAAGGAAGCCTACATCTGCATAAAACAATTCCAAGGCACTTGTGGAAAACCTATGGAAAAGTCAATGTGGAGGGAATTCAGAGTTAAGGGAAGATCCCATGGGGTACATCTTTTAGGGAGGAGTTAAGGAGTTAAGCCAGATTGCAGCTGGGCCTAACATTCCTGCTGGCAGCCATGACTACTACAGGCCTGGGTTGCGGAGGCAGAGCTGAAAGACCCCAGAAAATCAGCCGGTCCCAATGGAGAGAACGAGGCAGGGTCTCCTCTCTCTTCTTTGTCTTGTGATCCATGAAAATCTTTTCAGCCCCTATGAAGCTTCCAGAACACCACCTCCCCTTACAGCTCCCCAAATTATTCCCTCCCTCACCTCTTGCAAAGGAAGACAACTGGAAAGGAAAATAATAGATAAATCTGGAGGCACCATACCGAAGCTTGAAGGGGAAAGGAGACCACTTCATTCCCACCCAAATTACCATCCTTCCACATTGCAGTCAGGAACCAACCTCCACTCCAGCTGCAGCCAGCAGCCAGCGGATGGACTCCATCCTGCCCCTGCCATGAAAGTAGTAGAGCTTGGGTTTGGCTGCCATGATTCCTGGCTCAGAGTTTTCTAAAGGATTAAAAAAAAAAAAAAAAAAGAATTAAACAATTTACTGACAAGCCATATGGTATGTCCCTATTTATAGTAATTCCAAAACAGGTGAAGCAAAACTATTGTTGAGGGATACATACACAGGAGGTAAAAAATGAAAAAAAAAAAAAAACAAGAAAATAATTACCAAAGAAGCAGGATAATGGTTACTTCTAGTGAGGAAATGGGGTTGTTATTGGGGAGGAGCATTTAAGGTTTCTGGGATGCCAACAATGTTCCATTTCATAAGCAGAATTAGTGGTCTTTATAATTAGTCTTAAAATTGCACATAAATGCATTTGCACCCTACTCTACAGATGCTCTAGCTCACAATTTAAGAAAAAGGAAAGAACAAATGATGTATATTAAAAAAAAAAAAAAAAAAACTCGGCCGGGTGCAGTGGCTCAAGCCTGTAATCCCAGCACTTTGGAAGGCCGAGGCGGGTGGATCATGAGGTCAACAGATGGAGACCATCCTGGCCTCTCTACTAAAAATACAAAGAAATTAGCTGGGCACGGTGGCGCATGCCTGTAATCCGAGCTACTCAGGAGGCTGAGGCAGGAGAATTGCCTGAACCCAGGAGGCGGAGGTTGAGGTGAGCCGAGATCGCGCCATTGCACTCCAGCCTGGGTAACAAGAGCGAAACTGCATCTCAAAAATAAAACAAACAAACAAACAAAAAACTCAAACCATATTTTTCCTCTGCTGGAAACACACACAAAAAATCAACACAGAAGACTTTTGTGACCCCAAAATATGTGGAGGCTTCGCCCCACTGGCAAGCAAGCAATTCTGCAGCAGACACCAGCTCAATGTCCTCCAATTTAATTCCGACACTGTCCACCTGGAGATAGCATCAGATCCCAGAGAGTGAGGACTCTGTCCTCAAACTGCCTCCCTTTCAGACACCAGTCATTAAGTCGGGCCTCCAGAACTTCTGACCAATCAGCTTCAAGTTGGGATTCCCACAACCCCCTCTTTGGGTTTTAATTAATTTGCTGGAACTTCTCACAGAACTCAAAAAAACCCTTAAGTGTACCAGTTTATTAAACGGCTATCACCAACGATATAGATGAAGAGACACATAGGGTGAGTTGTGGGAAGAGGCACGGAGCTTCCACGTCCTCGCCAGGCGCACCACTTTCCACGAACGTTTACCGGTTCAGCTGTCCACAAACCCTGGAATCCCATCCTGGTTTTTTATTGGGCTTCATTACCTAGGCATGATTGATTAAGCCATAGTCCCTCTTCCCTACAGAGGTTGGGGGTTGGGGCTCAAAGTCCCAACTCTTTAACCTCGTCTTTGTCCTTCCAGCTGACCAGCCCCATCCTGCAGCATCAGTCAACATTAGCATACAGAAGACAGCACTGTGGAGTTCCAAGAATTTAGGAGTCGTATGTTGAGAAACACCAAGTTTTTGAATATTGATGAATACTGAGTGTATGATAGAATATGTAGTTTGTTAGGAAGAACGATGACAAGGAAAACACCCCCCAAGTGGAAAACCCCTTGGGGCATTCCAAAGTGGCAGGACAATGTATAAATATTATACACCAGTTAAACAATTCTTGGAAATATCTGACCCTGCCCCGGTGGCTCCCTCGTGGAGAATACCTTTTGGTTTCTCTGTAATCAGTGGTAAGCGGGTAACAGCTGCCTACCTAGCATATTTTTGCATTATGAGAAAATACAGAACACCTGTGTGTTAACAACAATCACCTGTTCCTAGAGAATACATGGCTCAGAATCTGCTCGGGGCCTTCAGGCTGGAATGCTGTCAGCCCCTGAGGCTCTCGGTTTGGAAGGCTGCTGGCCCCTCCACCTCCCCATAGACCCACTTTGCTGTTCTGAGTGTCTGCCTCTCATTGCCTTCAGTGCTGCCTGGGCAGGTGCCTCTCCGACTGAGCTGGTACTGGGTAGTTGTATGTCAGAAAAGTGGAAAAACACCAAATATGTATTTCACAATACCACAGTCCACCCTCCCCCACCTTTGAAACCCAATCTTATATTAAAAGAACATACAACTCAAAAGGTATTGCCATGTTACTAGAATCCCATTCAATCAGTAATAATTAGTCTAGCCCATCATATTGTACTAATGTCCCCAGAGTAAGGTCACTCAGGTTTGCAGGTTTCTTTCATTCAGTTCCAAAAGTAGGAGCAAACATAGAGCTGCACCCTTTCAGACATCTGTTATAATTGAGCTATGAGACCCGTCATCTCTTGCTCTGAGCCCCTTCAAGGTGTTAGTGCAATGTTGGATTTCTCCATTTATAACCCACCTATTCATTCTCCCCCTCTCCATTAATAACTAAGCTTTTTCACCTTTGGGAGGAACATTAGAATCGCCACTGTGCTGGTCCAGATTGCAGGCAAGTACCTCCTCCTCAGTCCACTGCCATTCAGGTGGGTTACAGTTAGTTAGGTACAGAACTAGAGAGCTATTTCTACTACCAGGCATAGCTGCATTCATTCAGCCCCAGTTTTGCTAGATGCAATGAAGGCACAACACTTCCTCATCAGGCCCTGAGGAATTCCGACACAAGGTCTGAAAAACACTGACAGTTTCTTGCTTAGAAATCCCTGCTTCCAGCACTAGTAGTTGTAGCCCCAGTCCTATGACCATCGCCTCAGACAGGTAAGAAGAAAAATGTTTTTGAGGTGGTTTGGAAAACACAGAAAAAATTATAGTCATTATACAAGTGTACTCTTCCCTTGGCAAAAAAACACAGGCATGTCACTGAAATGGGGGTTAGTTGCCACGTGTAGAGTCCAATCAAACAAGAGTGAGATCTGACACCAAAAAAGGTGAACTTATTCCGAAGCTATCTTGGGAAAGAGGTGCAGATGTCCTGTTGTACCACCTCACTTTGGGGCAGGAAGCGCACACCTTTTTAAGGTAAGGGAGGAAATGAGCAAGGGCAGGGGAGGGTCCTGCTAGTGTGGTGTCTTACCTATTAGACAACTGAGTTGGCACCTTCTGGGGCAGAAGCAAGTTGTAAAAGTGGCCAAGTGGGCATGATGTGCCCTCCTGGTGGATAAAAGTTCCAAGGCAATCCCTAGAGGTGAAAGTTCTGTGGTGGGTACGCTTTGGTCTACAAACTGACTGTCAACACACAGGAGAGCTCTGTCTTGAAGCACACAGAATAACTTGCCCTGAAGCAATGTCTGGTCAAGTGGGAGTGAAAGGTTATATTTGCATTTCTGAAGGGCTAAGGGGAGCCCAAGGCAAAGAACAAAGAAAGAGAGAAAAAAAAAATAATTAAACCACCCGGGTGGCTTGGCGTGGTGGCTACCTAGTAATCCTAGCACTTGAGGAGGACGAGGCGGGTGGATCACAAGGTCAGGAGTTTGAGAGGCAGGTGGATCACAAGATCAGGAGTTTGAGACCAGCCTGGCCAAGGTGGTGAAACCCCCTCTCTACTAAAAATACAAAAAAGCCGGGAGTGGTGGGTGTGCTTGTAATCCCAGCTATTCAGGAGGCTGAGGCAGGAGAATCGCTTGAACCCGAAGGGTGGAGATTGTGTAGCAGGAAAGGCCATGGGAAACGGATCTCCTGAACACCGAATACAGGAGAAAGGAGTTTATTCTACCGGGAGACTGAGCATAATTTGTCCAAAGCTCAGCTCATCTAACAAAGGAAGGTTCTGCCTTTATATAGGCTTATACTTTAGATATTACACGTTGGAAGAATCTTAGGTTTATAGCTTTAGAAATAACATATGAATAGGGTCTCGGTTTACAGCTTCAGGAATCACATATGAAAGGCTTCTGGTTTATAGTTTTAGGACTCACATGTGAAAAGATTTAGGTTTACAGTTTCAGGAATCACATATGAAAGGGTTCCGGTTTACAGTTTTAGGACTCACACGTGAAAAGGTTTCTGGTTTGATCTTGTTTTAAGTAAAAATAGTGCCTTCTGGAGAGTTTCCCCAAAACCAAGCCTACCACCTACAGGAAGGTGAAACAGGAGGCGCCAGTCGGTCAGCCTTTTCTTCTATTGAAATGCAGTGTGATAGTCAAAGGGGAAGTTGATCTCAGATGGCTGGGTCTCCCGTTTCTGTTGCAGTGAGCCAAGATCGCGCCCCTGCACTCCAGCCTGGGTGACAGAGCAAGACTCTGTCTCAAAAATAAATAAATATAATAATAATGATAATAATAATTAAACCACCTCTAGAAAAGTGAAGGCACTGGGTTACAGTCATACCAGCATCCTCCCCACACCCTCTTCACCAGATCAAACAGAAAAACCTAGTGGGGACACTCCTTTAGTCCCACTCATGTTGAGTGTGAGCTCACACTTGTGAAGACATATAAGCCAGCCCTTCATGTCTTTATTTCCTTGTTTTAGAAAATCAGTGTTTTAATTGCCCCTTCCACTTCTCTATCAAAGTCTTACTCTTACATTATGGGCTGTACAGTGTGTTCCTTGGTCTGAGGAAATGACTCTGGCCATCCAAATCCATGCAATATTTTCCGTTCTGTTTTTTTTTTTTTTAATGGCACTCTGAGTATTTTCATCTTCCATTGAATAACCAAAGCCCACTCCAGGGTTAGTATTTTTTCTTGTCAAGACCCATTTGTAGCCCCTAGGGCTACTAGCATCAGTCTCACTTAGTTGTGTCCAGGGCCTTCCCACCAGGGAATCTGCCCTATAGTCATCAACAGTCTCTGTCTCTCTTGCTGATAAACAGAACAGTTCTTATTAGCATTGTGTGCCTGAGAGGGTAGAAGAAGAACATGTCTAGATTCAGCCCATCTCTGCACTGCTACAGTGCCACCATAGCCACTCATTTCATGGACCCGAGTAGGTGGCTACCTCAAGGGAACACACAGCAATATCTGTTTGTTAATTCCAGCCCCTTCCAAACCTGGAAGGGAGTTCTTCTAATGGGTATTGACTTGTTCTACTTGAATGCACCCCTCATATTGCATAGGGCCACGCTCCATATGAGCATCCTTTTCATCATCCTAGTTTCCATTGCAGTCTTGCCCAACGTGTATGGCTAGGCCATTGGTGACTGTTTGTGATTGAGTAAAAAAAACAAATACGGGGGCTTCCACCACTGTTCAATTCTTCCATCACTGTTAGGAAAACAGCAGGCAATCAGCCCACTGGACTGATCCGTTTTTATCTTCTTGGGTCAAAATAGCAGCCTTCCAAACAGATGTTGCCCATTCACCTTGGAACTGCCATCCACAAACCAAGCTGTTCTCTGTTGGCCAGCTGAGAGGTGTTTATAGGGCACTAAATCCAGCAGCTCCTCACACAGTTTGAGTCAGTCCTAGGGGAATGGAAGCTTCCTGTTTGTGAGTACCTCCTTCTTGCATTCCACAGGTAGCATGATCCTGTATAAATCATGTCCATTTTATTATGAAACTCTTTTGGGCCTTGCCATCCCCATTAGAATGTTTTACGTCTCTGTCACCCAAGACAGAATGAGTATTTCAGATGGCAAGACCACTGTATAACTTCCAGTCATAGGGGTAGCTTCAGTTAACATTCCACAGTACAGCAGTAAATTTCAAGAGAAATTCTCTAGCCCAAAGTCCCAGTAGTCATTGTTGAGAGGTGCCCACAGGTTTTCGTCGTAAGTCCCAGGAAATGCTCCACATAGGATTATTACATGAAGAGTATGTCCCTACCAGCACTCTAGGTTCTACTCTATACTCTGTGGGCTTGGGCAATTGGACTGGTTCCCATTTAGCATGTCTAATTAATATTGTGTGAGGGGTGGATGTACACGCCTTCTGTATTATAGTACTAGGCAGGGCAAACATTTCCCAGTCAGAAATAATGTCCATTCCCATAATATAGTCAGGTAAAAAAGATGCAACCATTTCACATGAAGCATGTTCAAACATACCAACTTTCTAATTTAATCAACTCTTTTATTATTATGTTCTAGTCCCAGGAACATAAAAATTCTGTTCTCCATCTTTAGGCCATTTTACCCTCCCTTGTGCAAAAAGCTTTGAGCCCTCAGCCAGGGGTTGAGCCAAGAAACCTGGGCTCTTTTGTCAGTCATTACCTGGATTAACCAGTCTAACCATTGCCCTAGGCAATTCCAGGTGGAGTTTCTCATTGTAATCGTTACCTCCTGGATTTTTAAATTTTTTTTCAAACTGGGGGAAATAGAGCAAAATGGTTGAGGGCCCTTTAATGTAGGGGAACCAGAAGGGGCTCCCTTTGGTCTACTCCACCTTTGACAGTATTGTAGTAAGACCTTTGTTTTAACCTCATCAATTTCCATTTTATTCATTCAATTTTTAAAAATAATCATCTAAAGATTTCTACCCTGCTGGGACAAGTCCCATGACTTTCCCCTTTCTTTTTCTTCTTAATTTGATCCCTATCAAGGTTATCGTTATTTATCTCTTATTTATTTATCATTTATTTATTTATTTTGAGACCAAGTCTCACTGTCACCCAGGCTGCAGTGTAGTGGCGTGATAACGTCTCACTGCAACCTCCACCTCCTGGGTTCTCTTGCCTCAGCTTCCTGAGTAGCTGGGACTACAGGTGCACGCCACCACACTTGGCTAATGTTTTGTATTTTTAGTAGAGATGGGATTTCACCATGTTAGCCAGGATAGTCTCAATCTCTTGACCTCATGATCCGCCTGCCTTGGCCTCTCAAAGTGCTGGGATTACAGGTGTGGGCCACCATGCCCAGCCTATCTTATTTTTAAATAACCATTTAAAAATTTCCACCTTCCTGGGACAAGCCCTTTGACTCTCCCTTTTGCTTTTCCTTGTTCTCTTGTTAACTAAACTGTTTTTATTAGCACCTTTGATTCCTGAGTGACCACATGGTCACCCATGGCATGAAGCAACACTGTGTCGTGCTTGGTTACTAAAGATGAAAGTTATCAGTGGAATTTAGAGACACATCCAGCTCCCGAGAAGCTGATTCCCTGGATGAATAAGGAAATGCAAACTAATAAGAAAAAGACCCAAGAGGGGAAGCTGAGACAGTACATTTGATAAGGCATCTTGAACTCTTGTTCAATTTTGCAGAAGTAAGGTCACACGGTGAACAAGAATTTTGCAGAAATAAGATCACCACAGCATTTACCATGACTTGGGTCACAGGCATATTCAGAGGGTGAATATCCCAGTCATTACATGGTAGTCCCACATGGCTTGCATAGGAAGCATATCAGCTGCCTCATCTGGGGTGCTCCAGTTGGCATTTATAAGTGGTGTCCAGCAGTCCCGCTTCTCAGGGTAAACACACCTTGCAGTGGTTTTATCCACCTTCCAGGCTGGCTGTTCTCTTGGGAATAACATCCTGTGTATCTGGATTACATATACCCCGTCTGCGGTTTTTCAATAGTAAGCTATGAGGCCTGTGGCAACCCAAACATGCTCTTCCACTCCGCAGCATTTAAAGCCAAAGACCCTGCCCCTAAAGTAGTTATGCTCATAATCCATTTTAGGAAAAGTTCCACAGGAAGCTGAGGATGCCCATTTACAAAATGGAACAATTCTTTCACACTGTACTCTGGTTTCCATTGTTACTTGGTTTTGCCCTTCCCCTATGTTGACTACCCTCTTGGTAACCACTAAGAAGTACTTTCTATTCCTGCATGATTTCACCCCTGGGCATGGCTCTGAGGCTAGTGGCTGAAGCTCAGACTTGCTGAAAGTTTGGTATAGCATCAGGGTTTGATCTGGTACTCTTTTAATTTCATTTTAGTGGTTACAGATAACAATAACCAAGGGATCGAATATTTTGCCTTTTTCTTATTAATTTTCATTTCCTCATTCATCCAGTGAGCCAACTTCTTGGGAGCTGGATCTGTCTCTCAATTCCACTGGTAATGTACCTTTAGTAACTAAGCATGGCACAATGTTGCTCCATGCCACAGGTGACCATGTGACCACCCAGGACTCAAAGGTTCTTCCATCCTGTCTCCTCCCAAACCACGTATTTCCCTGAGGCAGGGACATCTTAGCAAATCTCACTTCACTGACGTCAGTTGTTTAAAAAAAAAAAAACAAAACTCGAACCATGATTTTCTTCTCTTCTTACACCAACACAATTACAATCAACACAGAAGACCTCTGTGACCCCCAAAATATGTAGGAATTTCTCTCCACCAGCAAGCACATAATCAGTTCTGCAGCAGATACTAACTGGGTATCCTCAGTTCAACTGTGACTCTATCTACCTGGAGAGAGCATCAGATTCCAGAGAGTGACGACTCAGTTCCCAAAACTGCCCCAGCTTCAGACACCCGTCACAAGTCTGGGCCTCCAGAACTTCTGACCAATCAGCTTCAAGCTGGGGTTCCCACAACCCCCTTTTTGTGTTTGATTAATTTGCTGGAGCAGTTCACAGAACTCAGAGAAACACTCAGATAAAATGATTTTGTGAATCATCCTGCAAAAAAAAAAAAATTTTTTTTCTAACAGCAGTAAGGATGTAGGCCTGTTGGGGTTGAAATATTCAGTGAGAATTAAATATTCTTATTTCTGTCACAAGACCTTCCTAGGTGCTGGGACAAGCACAGATGCAGGCCTAGCCAGGATGAGGATTCTGGTCCTTACCCAGTCACCAGTGAGCTGAGTAACCTTAGACCCAATTCACTAAACCGATGTCTGCCTTCATGTCCTTATCTGTAAGTAAGAAGACACTAGGTGATCCGCAGCCTTATTAAGGAGAGCGAAGTGATAATGGAAGCACACTGAATGGCACTTTCTACCTCATTGTTGCAAGAGCCACAGCGGCTATTCTGTGAGTGACCCTGCCTATCTCACAGCAATACTGAAATCAAACAAGATAAAATAAAGTTAAAGTGCTTTGAAAACACTAAAGGTCTAGACCAACCTAAAGGATAGTTGGGTCTCTTTTCTCACCTTTGACTCTCTCCCCAAATACAACAATGTGTGCTTCTAGGGAGCAGGAAAAATACCAGCTGGCACAGAGCATACGGCACTGAAGCTCGGTGGGTGCTTTGGAAGCATCAGGGGGAGCCATGGCCTGAGAGAGGCTATGTGGCTTCAGCTGCCTGAGGGAACAGTCCCCATGGTCCTCAGCCTGGAAAGCAGCTGGAGTGCCAAACGTCATGTCCAGACCAGGTGCAGTGGCTTTCGCCTGTAATAGCAGCACATTGGGAGGATGAGCCAGGAAGACTCCTTGAGCCCAGGAATTTGAGATCAGCCTAGGCAACATGGTAAGACACCCCTATCTCTACAAAAAATCTTAAAAGTTAGCCAGGTGTTTTGGCATGCCTGTGGTACCAACTACTTTGTAGACTGAGCCAGGAGGATCACTTGAGCCCAGGAGGGTGAAGCTGCAGCGAGCCATGGTCACACCACTGCACTCAAGCCTAGCAACAGAGCACGATCCTGTCTCAAAACCAAACCAAACCAAATATCATGCCCTAGCTGGGATTCAACTTGAGGATGCTGCCTGTGCTAATAAAACTCACAAGAACGTAAAAAACCAGCAAATCAGTAACTCACTTGATGATGAGAAATTTAACTGTTCACATTCAGTCATATGACAACAAGCCAATCAAGTTCACAAAGTCTTGCAGGTGTTTGGAAGTCACTCTTCCCTGTGACTGTCGTTTTCTCTTTGGTGTCAGATTTACAGTTTAACTCTCAGAGAAGTTTAATTCCTTTCTTGCCACAGTCTTGTCACCCTCTGGGCACCATCAATATTGGGTTGCTATTAAATTCAGTCCTTTTACATTGCCTCTGGCAAGATAAAAGCCGCTGGACCACTGACAAGCGATTCCTTATGCAGAGGACCCCCCACCCTGGTCTCCACCCTGCTGCCTTCTGAGAAAGATAAAGCAGCACTTTGGGAGGCCAAGGTGGGCAGATCACCTGAGGTCAGGAGTTCGAGACCTGGCCAACATGGTAAAACCCCATCTCTACTACTAATAAAAAATTAGCTGGGCAGGGTGGCATGTGCCTGTAATCCCAGCTACTTGGGAGGCTGAGGCAGGAGAATCACTTGAGCCCAGGATGCAGAGGTTGCAATGAGCTGAGATGCATCACTACATTCCAGCCTAGGTGACAAGAGCAAAACTCCGTCTCAAAAAACACACACACACAAAAACAAAAAACAAAAATGATAAAGCAGCACTGGTGAAGTTCAGTATCAGGGGCCCTCGTGGAAAATGCCGTCTCTCCACTGTCCTTTTAGTGAACAGAGCTCTGATCCATTTGATCCCTCTCCACCTGCTCTAGAGACGGGATAAAGCTGTAAAGCTGGTGGGGGCTTGTCTGGTTAATTCCTGTGGTTCTGCCTCCCTAAAACCTTTATCAGACCAACCTGTATTTGAAACTAATCCTAGGGTGAAAGGACATGGGCACAGGAAATACTGCTAAAACCCTTTATATAGTGGTTCTATTCTGCTCCCCCATTTAGACACACTGACCGTTATCCTGTGTTTTGTCCTGTGAATCCAGATAAGGTCACTTCTGGTAGCCTCTAGAAAGCTGTTTCTTTTCTTTCTTTTTTTCTGAGGCAGAGTCTCACCCTGTTGCCCAAGCTGGAGTGCAGTGATGTGATCTCACCTCACTGCAACCTCTGCCTCCCGGGCTCAAGAAATTCTCCTGCCTCGGCCTCCCAGTTAGCTAGGATTACAGGCACACACCACCATGCCCAGCTACTTTTTGGTATTTTAGTAGGGACGGGGTTTCACCATGTTGTCAAGGGTGGTCTCAAACTCCTGAGCTCAGGCAATTCACCTACCTTGGCTTCCCAGAGTGCTGGGATTACAGCATGAACCACCACTCTGTCATAAAGCTGTTTCTAAGCAGTGGTCACTTAAATTGCAGGCTGGCTGGTCCTGCTTCTGTCTGGTTATTCTCTTAGTGATGAAAACTCTCAGCTCTGGGCTGCCCACGGGAGACAGGTCCCTTATGTACCACTGAGTGTCATGATTTTCTGGCTCCAGATATTCTGTCTGTCCCAGAGACCTGGTCACGATGGTGAGATAGCAATGGCTGTGCTTCGAGCCAATCACAGGGAAATCTCCCAGATGATAGGAGCGGCAGCAAAATGCCATTCAAAAATGAGAATAATAGGGCAAGCTTCTTGCTGGCATTGCAGAGCCAACACTCAAAGGGATGCAGAGATATGAGCCCTTGGATATGTTGGAATAAACTGGTGGGGTCTGGCAATGTCAGACAAGTGAACACGAGTCTGGGTACCATAGACGGGATGCAGTTTTTCCTTTAGGAGAGCTGGAGTCACAGGGTTAAAGGGGAAACCTCTGCTCCTTGGATCATAACCTTCTGAATATAGGTTAACAGCTGCTCTGACCTCCCCAAGGGAATAAACAGGTGTGGACTCACTTCTGTTATCTGCTCCCGTGCCAAATACAGTACCATGTTCTGTACAATTCTCAAATGGAAGTGATAAGTGAGTGTTAATATCCCCTTCTTTCAAAGGCAGGTGTCTCTGGGCCTCAGGGGCATGAGTCCTCATTATAGCGATACAAGTTTATTCCATCTAAGCCTCAGTCTCCGAATCCTTAAAATGGGGGTGGTGGTTGAAATACCCACCTCGAAGGGCTATTGTGGGGCCTGAGGATGGAAGCAAGCAATATGTAAAATACATGCTGCACACTGTGCCCTATGTCAAATAGAGTCCTCCATGCCTCTTTAAAGGAATTACAAACCGATTTAGTGTTTTCTAGAGTATCTTGTACTAAGATTAGAGTGTCTGTTGGTTTTCCAATGTCTTTTGAAAAATGTTTGGTTGCAAATGCAATTTATATTTTGTAAAAGGAAGCTAATGAACACTATTGTGAATTTGACTCAATACTGCAATAAAAGGTGTGTTAAAAGTAAGATCTGTCCAGGCGCGGTGGCTCACGCCTGTAATCCTAGCATGTTGGGAGGCTGAGGCAGGCAGATCACAAGGTCAGCAGAACGAGACCATCCTTGCCAACATGGTGAAACCCTATCTCTACCAAAATGCACAAAATTAGCTGGGCATGGTGGTGTGTGCTTATACTCCCAGTTACTTGGGAGGCTGAGGCAGGGGAATTGCTTGAACCTAGGAGGCAGCGACTGCAGTAAGACAAGACTGTGCCACTGCACTCTAGCCTGGTGACATAGCAAGACTCTGTCAAAAAAAAAAAAAAAAAAAGTAAGATCTGGAGTGATTTTTGCCTTCATTTTGTGATTTATGAGCATAACTGGAGAATTTTCATAGTTTGGTGCTTACGGTAGTGAATTTTGGAATTTCATGTGACACCTTTGGGCCTGCATAGTTTTCCCCACTCCACTCCTGCCTACCCCCTGCATGTTCTCAAGGCATGTGGGAGCTAGAAGGATGTAACTTTGAGGACCAGCAACTCAAATGATAAGCAGTTACCACTTCTTGAAAAAATCTCTGCAAAAGTTTGTGTGCCCCATAAATAGCTGGCTCTGGCCAAGTAGTTGCCATACCTGGTCTCTCAGCCATGGCTCTATGGGACTCCAAATTTGGCTCTCAGATTGCTTGAACCCAGAAGGCAGAGGTTGCAGTGAGCCGAGATCGTGCCACTGCACTCCAGCCTGGGTGATGGAGCCAGACTCTGTCTCAAAATAAACAAATAAATATAAATAAATTAGGCTCTCAGGAGGCATGATGAATGGATTGAACTAGAGGGTGTCCAAAAAGCCTCAGCAGGACTCCAGTCCCCACCTCCCGCTCCTCCTAGGAGGAGCTCTTTCTTGTAGAATAGCTGAGTGCAGAGAAGGGGCCCCATACATCTTACAATCTCATGCCCAGCCAAAAGCCACCTTCTCTCCCTGGATTCTACAATGCAAAATTCTGAGGAGGTAGCAGACTCCCAGAAGGCAGGGTCAGGTCATGTTTCATCCATCCCCTTGTGCAATATATGAGGTGGATACTGCTAATCTACTGCTTTGGGATACTAGTTTCTAAACTTGATGATATTCCTGTGTTCATTTTTTTCTTTCGATATGAGCATTTATTGAGCGCCATTAATTAATTAATTTATTTATTTGAGGCATAGTACCACTCTCACCCAGGCTGAAGTGCAGTGGCATGACCTTGGCTCACTGCAAACTCTGCCTCCCGGGTTCAGTGATTCTCAAGCCTCAGCCTCCCGAGTAGCTGGAATTATAGGGGTGTACCACCACAATCGGCTAATTTTTGTATTTTTAGTAAAGATGGGGTTTTGCCATGTTGGCCAGGCTGGCCTCGAACTCCTGGCCTCAAGCAATTTGCCTGCCTCAGCCTCTCAAAGTGCTGGGATTAGAGGTGTAAGCCACTGAGCTTGGCTGAGCTATGGATAAAGTACTAGGTTAGGTATTCTGGGCATGAAAGATAAATAATATGTAGTTTCTGCCATTAAAAACATCCAGACTACTATAAGGTAAGTCAGAATGAAATAAGTGTTTAATAAAGGTACAATACGGTATTAAGAATTGAATAGAGCCTTTCTGAATGAGTACAAATTGATATAAATTTGTTTGTCTGACCTGTCATCCTTCTCTTCCCCGTGGTATTATAAACTAAGGGCTTAAACCAGGTCCTTTAATCCTTTTTCCTTGACCTCTAATGAATTTCAACAAAGATTAGGTTAAACCACAGCTTGGTAATATAGAAAACCAAGTTTGTTTATGCTTCAAAAAATAAACCCACTTACTCTGATTGTTTAAACGCATACCGTCCAAGCTTAAAAGAACAGGTGCAATGGAAATATATACCCCATCTGTGGGAAATGAAGAAACAGGGAACACAGGAGCAATGCTTTCTGGATTTCATCCAAAATGCAAACACTCTGAGAACTCTGCTGCTGGAAGGTCTAGAGCCTTAGAAGCTAAGATACTCAAGCCCATCTCTTCACCTCTGGTTTTTCTGATGCTGATATTGGCCAACAGGTATGTCCTCACATGGGTCTTATGACGTTGGAAATTAAGTCCCATCTCTCAGGGCTCGGAAACTTCACCTGTGTACAGCTTCACCTGAGATGAGCAAGCGTGGGGATGCATTCCCCCACCCACAGCCCTCCATACATATCTAAGGTGGGCTGAGCAGAAAGCAGTGAAGACAGTGTAATGACCTTTGGCTAGCTGGAGAATAGCCTTTGATTTAAAAGAAAAATA